AAAATAATGTACAACTGAAATTTTACAAGTTTGTAACCTATCATTAACTCAATGGAAAAAAGCATATTATTTGCTGGATATTGCATTCTGGGTTGTTAGGTTTTTCTTTCAATACTTTAAGTTACTCTTGTCAGAAACCATGCAAGCCAGAATTCTGTTGTAATTCTTACTTTTATTCCTCTGTGTGTAATGCTTTTTCCCCCTTCTGGCTGCCTTCAAGATTTCCTCTGTCTTTTCTTTTTTAGCAGTTTGAATATGATATGATTTGATGTGTTTTTTGCTTTGTTTTTTCTTTGAGCTTCTTGGACTTGTGGATTTGTGTCTGCTGTGCAATTTGGAAAATTCTTGGTCATTATTTCTTCAAATATTTCTTCTGTCCCATACTCTCTTCTCCTCCTGGGATTCCAATTACACATGTGTTAGATTGTTTGATGTTGGATGTTCTGTTCTTCACCCCCCCCCCATTATTTTCTCTCTTTGTGCTTTTGTTTCTATTGACTGAAGTGTTTCTGTTGACTTATTGAGAGCACTCATTCTTTCCTCCACTTTGTATGTTCTCTGATGAGACACTGAAGGCATTCTTCACATCTATTACTGTTGTTTTCCATTTCTAGCATTTCTGTTGGATTCTTATGGTTTTCATTTATCTGCTGATATTACCTATCTGATCTTGGATGTTTTTCACCTTTCCCTTAAAGCCTTCAGCATATTAATCACAGTTGTTTAAATTCCCTGTCAGATAATTTCAATATCTGTGTCATACTTGAGGCTGGTTCTGTTGATTGCTTTGTCTCTTGGTAGTGTTTTATTTTTTCTTACCTTTTCCTACACTTTGTAATTTTTTGTTGAAAACTGTATATCTTGTGTAGGACAGTAGACTAAGGTAAATATTTTTTTTTGCCTGGAAATGGGCACACTGTACCTTCTATTTGGCCTTTAATGTGGGGGATTTGAGTTAATATAGTCAGGAGTTGGGCTGGGTTTGAGGTTTGTTGTTTCTGTGGTTACCCTCTTTGCACCACAGTCTTCAAATTCCTCTAGCAATATCTTATTTTTAGATTGGAGGCTGGTTTGCCAATGGGTTTTCTCAATGTCTTTAGGTCTTCCCTTTGCACAGCACTTCAGAGAGGGTCAGTCTCGAGCAATATTCCACTCTTACTTGTTATAGGAAGTCGGAGGGGCAGAGAACAACTCTTCCCTATTATCTGATAAAGCCTCAGTCTTAGGCTGCCCTGTGTCCCTGGATCTGGAGTGTTTGGCCTTCTCAGTGCTCCTGCCCTACCTCCAGCTATAGTCCTAGGCCCAAAATACAGTCCTGGCCCTTCCTCAGATGCAGTGATTCCCCCACTGCCTCAAGGGCAACTGTGCTGGTTGCCCTGCTCCATGCAAATTAAACCTTTTATTCCCTAGAGGAGACGAGCAAGGTTTAGTGACCCTCCTATGTTAACTGCTGTTCACCTCCCTCAGGCCTGTACCATGCAGTTCTCTTTCTCAGGACTCTCATCAGTCGTCTTTGAGTGTACCTGTTGGAGTCAATGAAGAAAAAGTATATAAGAGTTTTTGAACTCTGCTCCCCACCTTGGGCTTCATACTCGCTAGCCGGCTCACACTTGGCCTCTACCGATTTGATATTTATTCTAGCTGAATTATTCTTCACAGCTTCTGGCTGAATCTGTCCTGTGTCTCCTTAGATTTGGGCTAGTCAGTTGCCCTGTGACCCCACCTCTCTGTGTTTAACAGTTTGGCTGTTTTTTGTTTGGTTTTTTTAGTTAAAAGGGTGGGAGTAATGCTCTTTCTGACTCTCTACATCCATGATCAGAAATCGTCTTTATTGTCATGTGTTTGAAATTGTTTTATTTTGTGCTTTCTGTTTCTTTCTTTTTTTCTCCTTTGCTTTTTATTGGATTAATTTAGTTTTTGTCTCTTTCTCTCTACTAATTTGAATTTTATAATTCTTTTTCTTTTCTATTAGCATTTATTACCTGAAAAAAATTGAAAATGCTTACCCGACTGAATACAGTCTAAAGTTAATAATGATCTCCGTCTTCCTTCCAAACTGTGTAAAGGACCTTTGAAGAACTTCAAGTGCTTTTCTTCCAGCTTCCGTTCTTACATGTTACTATGATTGTGCGTCTTTTTTGTGTGTGAGGAAGATTTGCCCTGAGCTAACATCCATTGTCAATCCTCCTCTTTTTTTGCTTGAGGAAGATCAGCCCTGAGGTAACATCTATGCTCTTCCTCTGCTCTGTATGTGGGATACCTCCACAGCATGGCTGATGAGTGGAGAAGGTCCACACCCAGGATCTGAACCCGTAAACCCCAGGCCACCAAAGGGGAGCAACAGAACTTTAACCACTCGGCCATGGGACGGCCCCTGTACATCTTTTTTTATACCTCCAAATTACTAGACATTATTGTTGTGTTTTATGGAGTCAATGCTCATTTGGATTTGTCCACTTGTTTGCCAATTTTTTGCTCTCTATTCTTACTTTTATTTGGTAGTTTCTTTCCAGTTTCAATCATGAATTGTAAACTCTCTCATTTTCTTAAAATATGCTTTTCTCTCACCCTTATATGATAATATAGCTCAATATACTACTGTAGGATGAAATTTGTTTTTTTAAGCACTACATATTTTTCCTCTTGAGATGTCTTCATCTCACAGCTACTCAGTTTTTCCCTTGATTTACCTCTTCTTTTCTTTAGCATTCTGAGCTTTGTTACAATGTATCTTGTTGAGAGTTTGTTTGTATTTATCCTATTTGGGACTAGTTGTGCTTCCTGAACTGTGGATTTATATGTGGTTTTTTTTTCAGTTGTGAAAAGTTCTCACCTATTATCCCTTAGGTCATCATATCTCACTCTTTTTTTTTTTTTTTGGTGAGGAAGATTGACCCTGAGCTAACATTTGTTGCCAATCTTCCTCTTTTTGATTGAGGAAGATTTTTGCTGAGCTAATGTTTGTGGCAATATCCCTCTATTTTGTATGTGGAACGCTGCCACAGCATGGCTTGATGAGCAGTGTGTAGGTCCATGTCTGGGATCTGAACCAGCGAACCCCAGCCCACCAAAGCAGAGCGTGTGAACTTAACCACTACAACACTGGGCCGGCCCTCACTTTTTTTTTCCTATTTTGTCCTGCAACCCTTACCAGGTATATTTTGTACTTCCTGTTCTCTTTTCTATGTCTCTTGACCTCTTATGGGACACTAATTATTTCTTCACTATATCTAACCTCTTATTTAAGCCTTTAATTGAATTTTTAATATGAGTGGCTATAGTAATTTCTAGAAATTGTGTTTGGTTATTTTTCACATTTGCTGAAAATTGTTTTGACAGTGACTTGTTCTTTGCTTATGTTTTTGCTTCTTTTTATGTCTAATAATTTTAAACATACACTATTTTATATGAAGTCCTTATATGATTATTTTATTATCTAGAGTCCCTAAAAATCTATTCTTGCTATCGTTTTTGTCTACTGTTTCTGAGTCATGATCAGTTCTTGGTGTTTTTTTATGTGTGAATGTTTTGTGATTTGGCATCATGGACTTGTAATCAGGGCCGCAGGGAGGTGGGTTATCTGTGGGAATTCTTTGTAGCTTAGGTTAAAGATATATCCCTCTGAAGTGTAGTTATTTGTTTTAATGTTAGGTGTGACAGTAAAAAGAGGTTGTGGAAAATTTTCAATACAGTATTAAGAATTTCCCTCTTATTTTTGTAAACAGACAATATTCATTGATTGAAAGTAAGATAGAAGAGCACAATATAGAGGATGGTCTTAGAAAGGAGGCATTTCTTCTGCAAGTCAGGAAGATATGTAAAAGGAAAATGATAGAAAGTTTTGGAGCTTAAATCTGTTGGATGATCCAGATTTTTTTATTAAAACTAGAAGCAGGGTCATTTTCTTAGAGTGAGGTAGAATGGTATAATAATAGTAACAGCTGGGCATTTTTTTAAGTATGTGTTAAATTTCAGGCGTCATGCGAGACTTTTTGTAAACTTTTCTCGTATAATTCTTATAACACAGCCTTGAAAGGCAAGTAGTAATGGCTGTGCCTATACCAGTGTACTGAAATTTGATATGATTCAATAACTTGACCAAGATTGAAGAACTGTTAAATGAAGATCCAGATTTTACCTATCTTTGGTTATGAAAGTCCCTTCTGTTTCTTTCGGGCCCCTAATAGAATAATTTGTGGTTGAAAGATTTCAGGTTGGGGCAAGCCTGAATGGGCAAACTACCTCATGTCAGTCTAGGTCTATATATTATTTTAGCATGTCCTGTAGTTATGCACTGAGCTGCAAGCATTTATTGAATTCTTATGATATATTAAGCCCTGTTATATGTATTATCTCATTTAATTTTGAAGACAACCAAATGAGAAATAGGTAGTATTTTTATATACATTTTTCAAATGAGGAGATAGAGACTCAGAGATATTAACTAGTTTGCTTAATCACCAAATAGCAAGCTAGAATTCAAAACAGTCCATGTTTGATAAAAACAAACTGTGCTATACTCTGGAGGAATGTAGGAGTGCACGTGACACATGTCATGACATCAAGGAGTTTATAGTTCAGTAAATGGTGATGGTAGCTTTCACCAGATCTGTGCTTACTTTTGGCAACTGGAAAGAGGAGTTAAATTCATCATATTCCTATATCTACTCACTTTGTACCACACTGCTTATTTCAGAAAGTAATACCTTCAAGTTCTACATAAACATCCTTATAGTTTATGGGTATTTATTTTATAAATGGTAAATTGAGCTATAATGAGAATTTCCAGTATGAACCTTATGTATTTTTTTGGATGATTTGATTTTTAAAGCAGTTTTATAAACTTTTTCTAAGTATTTAACTACTTGTTAAATAAAATTGGCATATGACTAATAACATTTTTTATAATGTTGTCAAGGCATAAAATGGGTAGGTAGAAGTTTGTGGGTTTTTTCAGGCCCTTTATCTAAAGTCTGAGTATTTATATTTTTAATTATTAGAACCAGATCAATAGTAACCATCTTCGAAGAGCAGAACAAGAGGTGATCAGTCTGCAGGAGAAGGTGCAGTACCTTTCTGCACAGAACAAAGGACTGCTTACTCAGTTAAGTGAAGCAAAGCGCAGACAAGCAGAGATTGAATGCAAGGTAAATATGTCAACTAACTAGTTTCTATTTTTGTCAATATAATAATGCTTTTTTTGTTTTTGTCTCATCATTGATTATATTATTTTAAAACCAAAAAAGTCTTATTTCCCACTTTTCCTGAACTTGGTTTAATGGTTGCTTTTGGACCAGGTTAGCTCATCTTGCTTTGGGATAGATTTCAGGCAAGAAACCTCATTTTCAACCACTTTGTAAAACGCTAGTGCAGGAAACAAGTTAACTAAGTGGTTGAAATGGGTAGCTCTTTACAGTTTTTCTTTTGACCTGTCATCTGTTAAAACCAAAGCTTTTAATGTCTCAGCCAAAAAGATAGGCAATTTAGGGAGGTTAGGGCAACTCTGCTTTAATTGATGCCTTATTAGTGGTCTGTCAATATTAATATATGTCTCCTGGATAAGAGTAGAGAGCAAAAGATGTGTGCATGTACTAATAAGTTGGGAAAATTGTGCACATTCCCCGTTATTATGCTAATCTGTTTTTCTATTTTTTTGTGAAGTATTTAGATTCATAAAGCAAGAAAAAGGATTTGAATGCAAGTACATTTTTTTCCTGAAATAAATTTATAGTATAGCAGTGGTGAGAGCGAGAGGAGACAGGAAGTGGGATAGAAGGAGAGGGGTGTGTGTGTTTGTGTTTGAAATAACAAAGAGATGACTGGGGTCTGAGCATTAGAATGAATTACCGAGGACAAGTTATGGAATTTTAAAAATAAACTAGACATCCATCTTTCCGTGATGAAATAGTAGGAATGATACTTTCATTTAATTTTTAAAGAGTCCAGCCTTGTTATTCTATGATAAGAAATAAGACTTTCAATGGCACATATAAAGCTGTAATTCCATCAACTTGTTCTGGTGTCATTAAAAACCAAGAGTGAAGCTTGAGTGGTTTATCAGTGTCACTGAAATCCAGAGTTGAAATTACATCCTAATAAATATGCATGACTGTTACAATTTACACTGACAGAAATCTGTAGGCAGTACTGAAATTTGTACTAACTTGAGTAGTCCCTTTTGAAGGATATGACAACTAATTTAAAAATAAAATGTTGTGACATAAAGTGATATCAGTTTGACTTGTCATACTAATATCTGATTGAGTTTTTATGATATATTGTCTATGCTGACTTATTTTTAATAAAGAACTAAATTTAATCTTTTTTCATTATTGGTGTAAGTTTTCCATAAACGTGTTGATAGCGCTGTTACTGGATTTAATATTGCTCTTCAAATGCCTTAGTGCCTTTTAATCAAAGTAAAATGTTCTTTGGAAATAAATATTTGGGGAGTTTGCTGATGAAAATAACTGTTTTCTTTGACTTTATCTAAGTAGTGGGCTCAGGCTGATAATCTTAAGAAAAGACATGAGATTTTATTTAATTTTTAATTGTTCATTAGTACCTCCGTGAAGTATGTTACAGATGCTCACTCCATCTCTCCCTGTGTTTGAGCTTTATATTGATTTATTCAATCTTTTGTAATGTTTTCCAGATTTCAAGAATGACCAGTGTATTAATTGTCACCCTAACACCTAGTACATATACAAATACATATGTGTTTTATCTTGTTGTGTAGAAACAAACCTAACTTTTTCAAGGAAGCCAGTCCTTCAGTTATATAATCTGATTCATTTTCATTTAGTCTTATATGATTATAGCTTATGATTTGTTGATAAGTAATTATTAAAGCTCATTTTATTCTTCATTTATGCAAAATGTCAGGATACTGTTTTTAATATTAACATTATTTTCCCTCTATAAGTGAATTAGAATGTTCCCATTTAAAGATGAAATAGTACAAGTCTATGATCCCTAATATGAAAATCTAAAACACTCTGAAACCCAAACATTTTTTCATAAGTTTCACACAAATTCATTTGGAAGTAAAACTTAATTTGAATTGTTATATAACCATGTGTAATTTTTATTTATCTCAGTTGGTATAGGTTTTTATTCATCACTGCTTCATTGTGGTAAACATTGAGTATACTGTTTCATTATGGATGCTGCCTTAGATCTTGCTGGATAATACTAATGTATGGTTTATGCACCTTATTACTTTTCTAAAATGTAAAACTCTGAAATTCTGTAACACATCTGGCCCCTAGAATTCCAGTAATGAGATTGTGGGATTTCCTTGAAAATCTAACTTTGAAGATTATGGAAAGATTTTATATTCTCTAGTTCTACGAAGAAATATGTATATCCGTGAGAAAAGGTATATTACTTCTTATACACAATTGTAAAATTGTATAATAAATAATAAGTGAGGAAAGTCAATCAAAATATTTTACTGTGATTATAATATTGTACATTTATGGAATAATGATAGGAAGAAATTAAATCTGCTTATGTTTAATATAAATTTTAATAACTTAATACATACACATTTTTTATAATGCTTTGATTTTTTGTTAACAAAGTATAAATGAAAGCATTGCCCACACCTCTATCCCCTTTTATCTCAATCCCTTCCTGACCCTACCACATACCCCTTCTTTTACTTTTTCCTAGGTGGCTGCTTTTGTTATTTTCTGATACATCCTTTTAGAGTCTCCTTTAGGCAGATACTAGCAAGTAAAATTATATAATTTTTCTTTTCCTCAATTTCTTACCTGAAAGTTAGCATACTTTAATATATGTTCTGCTTTTTGCTTTTTTGGTCAGTATGTTTTGTAGAGCTTTCAGTATCAGTGCTTGTAGTTTCTAAGGTACATTGTTTTCCATTGCATGCGTGTACCTTAGTATACCTAAGTGTACAACTAGGTGCTTGTTGATGGGCATATGTGCTGTTTTGCAGTGTTTTGCTGCTACAAGCAGTGTTTAGTGAATAACCTTGGACGTATATAATTTCAGATGTATAGAGGTATAGCTACACATTTCTATAGGATAAACTCCTATAAATTGATTGTTTGGTCAGTGGGTAAATACATTTGTACTTTTTATAGATTTGGTCAGATAACCCTCCTTAGGGTTGTACCATTTTGTACTTTGACCAGCAGGACTTGATAGTACCTCTTTCTTCACTGTGTTATTTACAAAGTGTGTAGCCAAATATTTTCATTTTAAATAAATATATATAATTTACATATTCTAGGACAGTGATTCTCAAATAGGGATGGGAGGAGGTGAGATTATGAAACTTCAGAGAACAATGGCGTCTACTTATGTATTTGTCAAATATTTGGGCGTCTTCTGTTTGTCATTTACTCTTGTAGGAACTGAGGATACAGTAGTAAAGAAGATGGACACAATGTTTAGTGAGACAATAAGTAAAAATAGATGAATCATTACTAATGATGTACTGTAGACTGGGAGTTAAGGGGAAGTGGGAATTAAGATTGAGTGCTAGGAGGTGGTATCAGAGCCGAGACCTCAGGAATAAGAAAGAACCAGTCACATGGAGAGCCAGGGGAAGATCGTTGCGTGAAAAGCATCACAGAGTTCAAGACCCCAAAGCAGAAAAGAACTTGGTTGTCGAGTCTTGTATATAATGAAAAACTGAATGAGATATAGCCAGGGAGGTAGGCTGGGACTCCACTTCTCACCATATAGATGTTTATAGCCCGTGGTAATGAGTTTGGGTTTTACTCTTAAGTGCTATGGGAAGCCACTGGGAAGTTTTAAGTAGGAAAGCAAGATGATATGATAGGATTTTTTTTTTCTGTTTTGCCGTATTTGCTTCAGATTTTTTTTTTAACTTTGAATTTTGAAATAATTTTGTGTTTACAGAAAAGTGGCAAAGATAGAGTCACAATATACCCTTTAATCAGCTCCTGCTAATGTTAACATCTTACATAACCATCGTACATTTATCAATACTAAGAAATGAATGTTGGCAAATGTTATTACTAAACTGCCGACTTTATTCGGATTTCCCCATCATGTCCCAGTCTCCTCTAATCTGTGACAGTTTCTCAGTATTTTTTTTCTTTATTACTTTGATTATTGAAGAATTCTGGTCAGGTATTTGGTAGAATACCTCTCAATTTGGGATTGTCTGATGTTTGCTCACGATTAGACTGAGGTTGTGTATTTTAGGAAAGAATACAGAGATGAAGTGTCCTTCTCAGCGCACCGTGTCAGGGGGCGTATTGTATTGATATGTCTTAGCGTTGGTGCTGGTAACCTTGGTCATTTGATTGAGTTGATCTCTGCCAGCTTTTTCCACTGCAAAGCTTTTTTCCTCTTTTACTCTAGTCATTACAAGCAAACTACGAAGTCCAGACCACAGTTTGAGGGCAAAGCAGGGGCATTAAGCCACACCTCCTGAAGGAAAGAGGATCAAAGAGTTTGAGGACATATGCTAAAACCACCGCGATAATGAACACATATTTTGGGGGAACTGTTTGAGGCCACACAAGTATCCTTGAAGTTTCAGCAAGTAATTTTAGCATTTATTAGGGGCTATTGCTTCTAGCAATTAATTATTTTTTAAAAGAACACACATGCCACTGTGTGTGGAGACGGATTTGAGGTGGGATTGGGGAGAGATGTGATATGAGGTCATCAGGTAATAGTACAGGACAGAGGTATTAGCTTGGGCCCAGGTATTGGCAGTGGTAATAAAGACAAGTATATCAATTCAAGATCTATTTTTGTAGAGAACCAACAAGACTTGGAGATTAAATTGGAGAGGGGAAAGATTAGGGGAAAACTGATGCCCAAATATTTGGGTTTTTACATGATTGATATAATTTTTTATACAATGTTAAGTAAAATTAGTACAGTATAAATGTATTAGTTTTCTATTGCTATTTAAAAAATTACCCATAAAACATAGTGGCTTAAAACAGCAGTAAGTACTAATATCCCAGAGTGTCTGTGGATCAGAAATTCAGGAACAGCTTAACCAAGTGGTTCTGGTTTAGAGTCTCTCATGAGGCTGCAGTCATTGGAAAGCTTAGCTGAAGCTAAAGGTTAAGGCTTTTTAGGGGGCTCATTCATGTGGTTACAAGTTGGTGCTGGCTGTTGGAGAGATCACTGTCCTCAAGGACTTTCTCTTAGTAAAGGATATAGACAGGTAAAGACACAGTTACAAGGCAGTATGGGTAGTGCCTTGATTGAAAAGGTATGTAGGACACTATAATGGGAGTTTAGTGTTAGAGTCATGGTTCAAGGAAGGCTCACTAAGGAATGATTAAGCTGAGACCTTAAGGATGTGAAGGAGTTAATTAAGGAAAGGCAACAGAGAGTTCACTAGGCAAAGGGAATAGCATGTGTGAAGAGCAGAAGTGAGAAAGAACAACAGGTTGGTCGTTTTTACTAAAAGAAGTTCATTCTGGCTGGAGGGGAGTTTAGAGAGGAATAGTGGTAAGATATGAAGCTAGAGCAGTGAATAGGAAGCCTGTTAGGTAAAATCTTGGACACCAGTATAAGGACCTGGGATATTATCTCAAGACCTGTGGAGTGCCATTAAAGTGTTTAAAATAAAGGAGTGACAGGATGAGATTTGAGTTTTATTAAACTTAGACACAGTGATGTGCTGGAGCCAGCCAGTAAAGGCTTGCTAGAACCGATAACAAATTGTTAGATTTTCAGGAATTTTGTGACACAGATGTTAAATAGCCATATGACCAATTGAATTATATAGCATAATGAAACAAATTATGGTAGAACAAAGATAATAAATACTCAAACGTCATCATTTCCTAATTATTTTTACATTTTACTATTGTCTGTGCTTTTGAGGTTTGTACCTATTGTGAAATACTTTATAATAGTGTGCTACTGCACATTTCTTCCCAACTCTGTGTTCAATAATGTGATGTTGGCAGCTTGAAATGAGCCATGGTGGAAGTATTTACACCACATAAGTTGGCAAACTACAAGTCAGGGCTTGATTTATTGTTTTGTTGATTATCTAGACCAGAAAGTGGCAAACTATAGCCCATAGCCCAAATCTGACTGACTGTTTTTGTAAATAAAGTTTTATCGGAATATAGCCTTGCCCATTCATTTATGTATTGTCTGTGGCCACTTTCACACTCCAGTGGCAGACAGAGTAGTTGTGATAGACTGTATGACCCACAAGTCTAAAATGTTTACTTCCTGGCCCTTTAAAGAAAAGTTTTTGACTCCTGCTCTGGACTGTTAATGCAGATTAAAATTTAACAGTGTGTTGCATCTTCAGCCTTTGCATTATGAATAGCGCAAAAATATTAGGGAAATTTTCTCCAGTCTTTGATTGCTGTCATCAGAATTAGTAAAAAATTTGCTCACATCATTGACAAATGGGTAAAATTTTAACGTCTTCTGCATTTCGCTTTCATTTCTCTAACATAAACAAAAATAATTAACCAACAGTCATATCAAAACTTAACTTATTCCTCAGTTTCAACCATAGGTAGCTTATGGATACAAGAGTTTGGCAAAAATCAGTGGAAGCATTCTGTGAGAATATATTGACTATATAGAATTTACAATAATGAGTACAATCACACATTGCTTAACGGTGAGGATACATTCTGAGAAAAGTGTCGTTAGGTGATTTCATTGTTGTGTGTACATGATAAGAGTGTACTTACACAAACCTTGATCCTATAGCCTGCTACACATGTAGACTATACAGTACTAATCTAATGGAACCACCATGGTACAAGCAGTCCATTATTGATCGAAACGTTGTTATGCAGCGCGTGGCTGTATTGTATATCTTTATTATCTGTATGTTGTGTACTATACGTCCTCTGTGTCAGTTTATATTAAAATATATAATAAACTTATACATGAACACATATGTGTGTACACACGCGTGCATATATGCCCCTCCCTGAAAGCTGGTTGTTAAGCATTTACCAGCACAGCACTGGGTATAGAGACTTCATGTCCTGGCCATATGCAAATTGGAAAAATATTTAAAGCAGTATTTGAAGTGAAGTACCAACATCATATCTGAAATACAAGAATAAATATAAATTTTTATTTAAAAGTTTAGTGATTACACTTTTACTAAATTTAACATTTTTTAAAATTTTGATATTATAGTACTGTCAGGTGCTAAATTTCTCCTGTGATCATCATGCTGCACATTTTTGATACTAAGTAATTGGTAAATTTCAACTGAAGTTAATGGAGGAGCAAAATAATTTTGCATACCCCGTTTTTCTCTACCACCTTTTCTTCGTATTTTGTTATTTCTGGATCAGTATTATTTAGCATGGATACTCTAGAATATGGTTTTAGAGTTTTCCCTTTGTGAAATTTTGAGGTAGTATGAATGTTTGAGGTGAGATGAATGTTATGCAGAATTGTGATGTAATTCATTTCTATTATTCTTCTCTGTAGTGTAATGTAAATATTCATTAACATTTATTGCCTCAGAAAGAATATAATTTTTTAATATTATCTAGCTCACTCTTAGTATCCATATTTTCTGTTAATCTATTGTCCTAGTTATTTGTGTTTGAAAATTCTCAATAATTGTTCTTGCATAAAAAATTAACAGCTTTCATAGTGACCAGTAATTTTAATAATTTTTATTCATTAAGTTAATTTTTAATTTAAAAATTTTGAGCAATATTTACATGAGGGGTGTTTCTTAATATTTTAAGATGTAATGCTATTCTATATATTTATTCACTTCATATCAAGTTCAGGAAATAATAGCTTTTTTCTCATTTAATCATGGGTCTATTTGATATTTTCTAAAGTTGAGACAGGTCACAAGTGTTTATGTTTTATTACTGGTTTGATTTATATGTTTTAAAAATTTTTTATATGTATATATTTTATTTATTTATTTAATTTTATATTTATGTGGTTTATTATTGGTTTCTTTTGTTTGCCACCCTAGAACAAGGAAGAAGTGATGGCTGTGAGACTCCGGGAAGCAGATAGCATAGCTGCTGTGGCTGAGCTACAGCAGCACATTGCTGAGCTGGAAATCCAGGTACCACATGGTGATAATAAAGTACACATAAAAGTAGTGCAGTTGTGTCCCTTCCCTCTGCACCTGGACAATGACTTAGAGCTTCATCCTAATGACTGTGATTCTATTTTCAACACCTATTAATTTCCGAGTCCGTTTTTTTTGTTGTGGTAAAATACACATAGCATAAAATTTACGATTTTAAAGTGTACAGTTCTGTGACATTAAGTATATTCACATTGTTGTGCAACCAATCTCCAGAACTCTAGTCATCTTGCAAAACTGAAACTCTGTACCCAGCAAAAACAGCTCCTCCTTCCCCCCTTCCCCCAGCCTCTGGAAACCACCATTCTATTCTGTCTCTGAATTTGACTACTCTAGGTAGTTCCTATAAGTGAAATCATACAGTGTCTTTTTGTGACTAGCTTATTTCACTTAGGGTAATGTCATCAAGTTTCATCCATGTTGTAACATGTGTCAGAATCGTCTTCCTTTTTAAGGCCGAATAATATTCCATTGTATGTGTATACCACATTTTGCTTATCCCATTCATCTGTTGATGAATGCTTGGGTTGCTACCACCTTTTGGATATTGTGTATAATGCTACTGTGAACATGCTGTACAAATATCTGTTTGAGTTCCTGCTTTCATTTCTTTGGGGTATGTACCCAGAATTGGAATTGCTGGATCATGTGATAATTCTATGTTTAGTTTTTTGAGGAATTGCTATGCTCTTTTCCACAGCAGCTGCACCATTTTACATTCCCACCAGCAATGCACAAGGATTCCAATTTCTCCCATCCTCACCAACACTTGTTACTTTTCTGTTTTCTTTTTTTTTATAATAGCCATCCTAGTGGGTGTGAAATGGCATCTCATTGTAGTTTTGATTTGCATTTCTCTAATGATTAGTGATGTTGAGCATCGTTTTATGTGCTTATTTGCAAATCATTTATATATCTTTAGAGAAATTTCTATTCAAGTTCTTTGCCCATTTTTTAATCGAATTATTATTGAGTTATGGAAGTTCCTTATATATTCTCAAGGTCACTCTCTTATCAGATATATGGTTTACAAATATTTTCTCCCATTCCACCGGTTCCCTTTTTGTTTGGTTGCTGTTGTCCTTTGATGCACAAAAGTTTTTATTTTTGTTGAAGCCCAACTTACTGATTTTTTTCTTTTGTTGCCTGTACTCAAAGTCCATTTTTGAATGACAATTTATCATATTTCCATATTTTCAAAAGAATTTTCAAAGCTTTAAAAATAAATGTTTTGTCACTTCTTATGTCCTACTTCTTACTGTACAATACCAAGTAGTACATTTCTAATATGGGCAAAGTATTATATTTAAAATCTTATTTCTTTCAAAGTTTTTGATTATATTCTATTCCAAGCTATAATACAGTTTTTGATGCAACATCTAGACTTTTCTTCCCACCTGAAATATCTTTTTGTCCTTAAATTTCAATTCAAAATTCAGTTAATTTCTAAAACTCACATATTATATTATAGCCTCATCTTTTGATCTGGATCAAAAGTAATAAGAATACATTATGATTTCCATAGGTTTATAAAAAAATCCTTTGTGTTCTATTGATAATATTACCCATAAAATACCACATATTCAGAAAAAGTTCAGATACAAACTGACTGCAAAATATATTTATAATCAGCTATTTAAATCATGCTATCATATGCAATTCTGGATTTAATGTGTACTTTTCTAACATCAAGAAAATGATAAAACCTTGCCACATTTCTATACATCTTAGTCACAAAATAGCAAGACTTAAATCACTCTTTTTGTTGATTCTGAAATACTTACTAAAATGAAGAACTTGGTATGTTGCATGGTTTAAAATGAAATGTAACATATGTCATTTTTGAAAAATAGGAGAGAAAATGCATGCAATTTTTACTATCAATAGGAGTATGTTAGTATCAAATGGCTCTTAAGTGTCATTGGAATCCTAGTTGCCGAATTCACTGGTGTTTTGTCAATATTTATCCTGCTTGAGCTTATCTCATTTGTCATTGTTGACCACTTCATCCTCATTGCATTTTCCCCTCCCTTGGCTTTCGTTACATCACTCACTTTTGACTCTCTTCTTTCTTGTTTAACTGTTGTTTTCAGTCTTTATCAGTTCTTCATGTTTGTATTCCTCGGAGAATTTTTGGCTTTTTAAAAACTGTACTGAAATGAAGAGTCTCACTTACATGACTCCAGGAGCCATCTTTATAGCAATGAATCCTAATTTATCTCCAGCCCTAGCATGTTTCCCCTAGCCAATAATTTTTAAACCTTTTAAAAAAATTATTGACACAATATACAGAGAAGTTCATAAACAAAGCTAGATTATAATAAGTGTAAAAAGTGCTACTCATATAGCCACTATAGAGAACAGTACCTGTACCCCAAAAGTGTACCCAATCACACCCTACTTCCTTATCCTGAATTTTATGGTAATCACTCCCTTGCTTTTCCTTATAGTTCTGTCATCTTTTTATGTGTCTCTGATCCATACAGTTTAGTTTTCCCTGCTTATGAATTTTGTGTAGTCATATTAAATATTTTTATTTTTGTCTCTACTTTCTTTGTTCAATGTTATTTTAGTAAGAGTTACCATTTTTATTGTTGTACTTGTTCCATTTTATGAATACATCACAATGTATTTATTCATTGTAATATTAGTGGTCATTTGGGAATTTCCACACTGGGACTGTTTTGAACAATTCTGTGACTGTGAGCAATCTTGTCCACTATACTGATCACATGTGCACAAGTCTCTCTAGCATGTACACCAAGGTGTGGAATGGCTGGGTCATAGAGCATGCAAATCTTCAACTGTATTTTCCAAAGTGCTTGTACTAGTTTAAACTCCCAACAGCAGCATATGAAAATTCTTGTTGTTCCACATCCTCCCTAACACTTGGTGTCAGATATTTTAATTTTTGCCAGTCTGGTGAGTATGCAGTGATATTTCATTGTGGTTTTAATTTCCATTGACCTCATTACTAATAAGATTGGCCATTTGGATTTCCTCTTTCGTAAGGTGCCTGTTAAAGTCTTTTTTGTATATTTTCCTGTTGGGTTGTCTGTCTTTTTTTAATGGATATGTAGTTCCTTCAATATTGATGTCATGTTTTACAAATACCTGCTCTCACGCTGTGACTTGTCTTTTGTTGGTGGTGTTTTTGATGAATATTACCAGTGGTTTTAATGGACAGTAGACAGCTCCACCTGGGCAGGTACAGGTACTTCAGATTCAACATGTTTAATATCAGATGTGTTCCTATTCCATCCAAAATGTTTTTCTTTTTTTGTGTCTCAAGTCTTGATCAGTGATATCATCTATTATCGAATTGTTCAACCTAGTAGGAATTTCACTTATGCTTTTCTTACCCTCTACCGTATATACCAAGGCTGTATATACAGAGTGTGCAAATTTTCTACTTTATTAGATGATACCGTATTATTTTACAAAGTGCTTGTGCTAGTTAACATCCCTACTAACATTTTACCTGCTCATCTACTTTTGTAGATTTGCCTTCAGATGGTTCTTAATTCATAGATTAAAGTGTTTTGTTCAACTCTTCAGTGCCTTCAAAGGATAAAAGTCCTGAGTAAATCTAATACTAAATCAAAGGTCATTTTAATCATTTCAGACACTTTTTTTTAATCTTTCATAACCTTTCTATTCCTCCTGCCACTCCCTTAATTCATCTGCCTCCACTTAACTGAACATAAGTAACTTCTATTCAGTTTCTTTTTTTCTAACCTCAGCTCTTCCACAGAGCTACTAGAGTTATCTTTCTAAAACATGAAAACTTTTGTTGACTACCTTTTACGTACCAAATCACATCAAAACTCTTTAGCATAAAATGTTTTGTCTTTTCACTATTGCTCAAACCTGAATTTCTAGCTTCATCTCTCACCATTACCTCCCCACCGTCTCCACACACACACACTCACACACTCTCTTTTCAAAATTCTCACATTTTTTCAAAATCAAGTACCCTTCTACATGCTACTATGTTTCCATAAATTATATTTTTCTATACCCTCTAGTCCTCTGCTTTTTATTTATTTCTGCTCACTGAGTTCTCCTTGGCTAGTTTGTGATTAGTATGTTTAGCAAATGTGTTTTCAGTAAAAGTCTTAATGATTTAACTTTCACTCTTTTATTTATTTATTACATGCAGATTAAGATCCATAAATAGATCTGTTGTTAAAACTTGAAACTCATTTTTCAATTATAAGAATGATACATTTTAGGTTATTCTTAGTCATGGAAATATCTTAGGTCATTTTCAAGTTCCACTAGGGGGAGAACTCAACTTAGTCAAATATTTTTATACATCAAATCTCTTCAGACCAACTCTTCAATTACTGTTAACTCTCTTGTGAGTAAAATGTTTTCCCAAAAACCAAATTCTCGCAAACTCTTCTTTTAATAAATTATATTATTATGTAATCTATTTGATATAATTAAAGCCTGCTTTTTAAATGTAGTTATGAAAATTATACTTTTGTAAATGTCATATTTAGATGGGGAAACATTAAATAAATACTCAAACACTGTAATATTCTGTAGTAGATAGACTTCTGAGGCTGAAGTTTATTAAACTTGTTTCAAAGATTCTTCACTCAACTTGAAACTTTGAGGTCTGACAAAGTTTGTAATCTGCCTTCATGTTAATATTCTGAGATGACTACGTCTGTAGTATACTTAATATTCTTTATAATAATGCCTTTCCCCCTGTCTTTGGAGGAACTGTTTAATATTAATATCTCACAGTGAATTTAACCTTCTTTAAGTGTTGCAGCTTTCAAATTTTAGCCATTTCCTAGAACTGTTTTCAAAAGGTATCACCTAAGTTTCCTCCTTCTCAAACAGAATGACACTTATTGGCGGATTTCAGTCACCATTCTACTATAATGCTTGTTTAGAGCAGATCATATACCTATAAAATTAAGGGATTGGACTGTAAGTTTCCACTAAAAAAAAACACTGTG